AAGTTTGTAATTGTCATGTGGCCATGATGCAAGAGTTAAGTTTGTTCACTAATCCTTCTAAGAATCATGGAATAGAGTCCCTGAATGGTTTGGGTTGGAAGGGACCTTAGAGCTGATCCTGTTCCATCCCTGCCATGGGCAGGAATGCCTTCCACTATCCCAGGGTCAACCTGGCCTTGGACGCTTCCATGGATGGAACAACCACAGCAGTTCTGGGCATCCTGTGCCAACTGTGACTGAGTGTGCTGCATATCTTCTTCCTGGGTTAATGATCAAAAATGCAAAATGTCATTAAGAAATCTGTCACCATCCATGCTGTGCAATACCCTGGGTACCATTCTGAAAAAGGGCAGTGCTTGACTTCCGGTCAAAAAAAATGGGCTAATCAAGGAGCTAATTTCATCATGGAAGAGAAACTCATGTCCACCCGTGCTTGCTGATGCCGTTTCATAGCATCACAAGTCACCAAAATTCTGATCTTTCAACCAGCTATTATTTTCTATATAAACTAACTTTGGAGGAAAGAAAACAGAAAGCTGAATAATTTTGCCTCTGTTTATATTCGACAGTACAAACCACGAGGGATGGTTATGCAACACTAAGCTGAATTACACAAGACATGCCTCCCTTTATCTCCTCAGAACTGGTAACATTCAGAGGGTGGAGGTTTGCATTCATTCATGATAGAACTTTTAAAATCAGTGTTTTATGGTTGCAATAATTAAAATAAATTAAATGTCATGTCAAAGGATGAGCATTTAGAATGTTCTGTTGTGGGAACCAGGAGATGGGGCACCATAAATTAAACAGGTGTTTGGTGACACTGAGCTTTTGCATCCTCTGCTGACAGTGATTTTTTTTTTTTTTTTTTTTTTTTTTTTTTTTTTTGATGGGTAAATATGTCTGTAAGGAACTAACTGTGAGCAAATTCCTGGGGTTTCATGGTTAGGCTGCTTGACTTCTCTTGATATTTAAAAGCCATATACTTTTCAAGTCGTTTTACACATCAGGATGTAAGTGTTGAATTCTGTGGAAGTGTTTGCCCAGGAGGATACCATGCTAATTATTAATTATATTGCAGTAAAGAAAGCAGCAATATTCCAGGATGGTCAGATCCAGGAACATCCAGCTCTGCCCATCGTTTGCCTTGGCTTTGAACTTTTGTGTGTTCCTTGATAGTGTTTATCAGACTGAAATTGTTTTTCCCCAGATAATGTTCTCATTCATCATGTTTTCCCCTGCATCCTCTCAGCTTATTTCCATTCTCTTTTTTCTGGCATGATTAGTTGTTTTTTACTTTTAACAAAAGACTACCCAGTCATGTACCTGGCTGTCTTTTAGCTGTCACTTGCTGGTTTATCCCTTGTGCATCTAGAACATGACTAAACATCTGTCTTTTTTGCCTTAAAAGTTAGAATCTTTGCAGAAAAGCACCACATTTCACTTCTTTCCTGAGAAGGAACATGAAGTGACTGACTACCTAGAGCTACCCACAGTAATGTGAGGGCTGTGCCTACATTCCCATCCCCTTTGCAGGCATGATTTTAGTCTCACAGTGTTGTTACTGAGCTTTTAGCTTCCACTTTTCTTTTTTTGGTTTATTCCCATAGAAATAATTATAACCATATTTTGATGTTTAGAATTATTTCTATGGGAATAAACAAAAAAAAAAAAATAGGTGTGGGAGGACTGGTACACATCGGTGTTGACAGAGGCATTATCTAAGCCCTGTTTTGTAAAGGAATATTGTAGTACTTTTAAATGTGAGTGCCACACTGAGTTTGCCAATTGTAAGCAAAAGGAAACTTTTAACTCCTCTCCTTTAAATATACTGTTCAATAGATTGAAGCACGTCTACCTTTCACAAATCAATATTTGACTTTTATTTTCATATAACAGCTAATCCAGTAGAAAAAAAAATGGTCTTACAAGGCTGCTGAGGATGATGTGTTAGTCCTTGTCTTGGCCACACACATTCAGCATTTCAGCTGTGTTCAGCTGCTCTGAAAGCAATACACAAGGTGATAAACTGCAACAACAAAATGTTGCTTTATTTATACCTGTCTTGATACCATGTATGGATGCAGAGCGTCTGTAGCCTGATACTGATGATACAGAGCAACAAAACCACATGGCATTTTATTAGCATTTCTCCGCTGTCTTATCCAAATGCTGTCCTTGGATATATGCTTGTTTTTTCCTTTGTTTTGAAAACTTTTAAACCCTTAGGAATGATTAAATCTCTAATTATAGGAGCAGACAGTTCTCCTGATAATGTATGTGCAATACAGAGATTCAGTGCCACTTCTCTATCTTCTGTGGAGATAGTTTTTCTAACAAATTCTTTTTTGTGTAGTCAGTTGTGAGTAAAAAATCTTCAGTATTTCTCCTATTTTTCTTCATGGAGGGGGTTCCAGATTTTGCACCTGCAATGTGGTAGCTGAAATACAGATGGTTGATTCTGTCCATCAGCTCTTAAAAATGTTAAATTTAATTACTGTGCAATAACCTCTGAACCTTTTCATTGTTTGAAGCTGATCACTAGCAGAATCTGCAGCCTATTGGAAGATGGTTAGCAATGCTTTCTGTTTCAATTCGCTGTGTGCCTGGGGTTTAGGCTGAACACCTTTTATTAAAAAGACATTTAGTTTTTGAAAAGTAGTTGTGCAGTTTGTTACCTTTCTGGTAACTGGATAGATCTCACTTGACTCAGAATCATAATATTTCTGTAAAAGTCATCTAGTCTGTATTTTTGGATAGTGTCTTGGTCACCAGCCCACCCTGCTGCACTGGGGGCAGAAGTATGCCAGTGCTCAGAGCTTTTAAAAATACACCATAAGACAGCATATTCTGCAGTAAATCTGAGTTGATAGGCAAGCACCATTCCCCAGGTGAGTTAGGTCTGGATTTTCCTTCAGATGCCAGCTGAAGCAGTTATTTCTATTTTTGCCTAATATTTTCCATTACATACCCTTGACAACACCTACCTGGGATGCTTCATAGCACAATAATGAGGTAACTACAGGCAGAGGAACCACCTGATTTTGAAAGTAAAAATTATTTTTGTCATAGAGGAATGTGATCCCATTGACAGCAATCAGCTTTGTAAGGGTTTCTGCCGTCATTGTTAGCTACACTACAATGCTAATTTAGGTGGCAAAGTCATTAAAAAGTAGGAGATACATTCAGAAAAAAATCTGTAACCTTCACTGTCAGGTATCATTGCTAAAGAGGGAATTTTTTGGGAATGCGTGCACAAGATATTCCTCTTCAAACAAGAGCTCCAAAAAGCTTCCACTTAAATCTCCCTTGTACATGTAGAAGACAAGGGTTGGGGATAACCAGACTGTAGTGTGGGAATAATGATGGGATCTCACTTCCTCATGGTCCTCAGTGTCACAAAAGAAACGGAGCAGCAGGTTAGGGGAATGGTGCTGCCTTCTGCAGGGCCACATCTGGGAGAGGGATTCGGGACAAGGGACAGAGAGATTGGATAAGAGGGAATGGCTTCCCACTTCCAGAGGGCAGGTACAGATGGGATATTAGGAAGGAATCAGCTGTGAGGGTGGGCAGGCCCTGGCACAGGTTTCCCAGAGAAGCTGTGGCTGCCCCTGCATCCCTGGCAGTGCCCAAGGCCAGGCTGGATAGGGCTTGGAGCTGCTTGGGACAGTGGAAGGTGTCCCTACCCACAGAAGGGGTGGAACTGGCTGAGCTTTAAAGTTCCTGCCAGCCCAAACCATTTTGGGATTCTGTGAGCTGCACTTCTAGGAAGAAATGCCCCTTGCTTTCCATTGAAAGCAGGCAGAGCAAAGTGGTAGCAAAGAATTTTGTTCTTTTTGAGTCTAAACAAGATAATGAAAGTTCCTGTGTTCCTTCTGCCACATGACAATTCCTACAGTGCTGCTTAATAGTAGAAAATAACTGTGTGCAGAATGAATGGCAGCCCAACAAAATGCTGTAAGTACTGCCTTTTTGTGAAGAATTTAAGTGCCTTGTGATAACTCAGAAAGTGAACTTTGTGGGCAGTCAGCAAAAGGAAGTGTCGGTGGTTTCATTGTTCATATCCAGCAGAAAAACTCAAGCTGGTTTAGTATGGTTCTCATTCTTGCCAGACGTGTAAAGTCTCACAGTCCAGTGTTTGATGTGATGGAGACAATCTAAATGATATAAACAAGTAGAAGAGCCCCTTTTTTACCCTATTCCAAGGCAGGACAGACAGCTCTGCAGTCAGAATAACTGCATTGGAGATATCCTGATGTGGAGCTCAAGGAGGGAAATCCAGGCAGCTGGCAGGAGTTCACATGCTTGTTCAACTTAGGAAGTTTGAGTTGTCAAATGCACTGACAAAATGAAAAGCTCTACAAGTTAATCTTAGTGTGAAGGCTTAGTGCACTGCAAAAGGAGATTCCTTTTTTCATTTGTTACAAGTGTTCTTCAATGCCAAGAAAATAATTTTTAAAAAGAGTCAAAGGGGAAGAGTCTGGTAACAGTGACAGATGTTGAAGGTGCAGTGATGTTTGATACAGCCAGTTTTCCTTCTCCTGCCTTTGCTTTTCTCTTTCACCCACTGTATTTTATTTCTCTGTTACTTTTTCTCCTTTTTCCCTATCCCTCCTTCCTGCATAGGGGCTCAACAGAAAATGTAATAAATTAATTATATGCAGAAGTGCTTTTACATAGAATAGGAAGGGTTGAAAAGACTGTGTTCACTTAACCCTTACAAATTTGACTGATTACAATATGGTAATGCTTTATGTCATGGCTCCTGTTGGGAGAATCAAGCTATGAGGCTGAGTACTAGTATGATGCATTTCAATTAAAATTTTGGTGATTTCTGGAGAAAACAGATTCCTTTCCAGACACATGGATGCCAGATTTGCTCACCATAGAGAGATTACTAGCTAATAGCTTTATTAGTAATAATTACCTTTGCGCTGCCTTTATTACTCAATATTTTACAATGGAAAAGGGCACTCTGACCTTTCACTCCTTTCTTAAAGGCTCAAGACCTGAATGTGATTGAGGAAGTGATTCGAATGATGCTGGAGATCATCAACTCCTGCCTGACCAACTCCCTCCATCACAACCCCAACCTGGTGTACGCTCTGCTCTACAAGCGCGATCTGTTCGAGCAGTTTCGGACTCACCCCTCTTTCCAGGACATCATGCAAAATATAGACCTGGTGAGTGATACGTGACTTCAGAGATGGTTACACTTGGTTGTGTGAGCTCTTCTTGCTCTTGAGAGTTGGAAAATATTTATCACTTCTTACCAGTTTGTTTTAAAATGTTGAATTTTTCTGGTCTGTTTTTTGGGCCTGCACATGCCTTCTGGGCAGCATAGAAACACAGAGTGGTTTGGGTTGGAAGGGACCTTAAAGGTCATTTAGCTCCAACCCTCTAATTTCTTTAACAGCCCTTTCCCACATCTTTAACTGAGGAGAATCAGAGAGATTTTGAGATGCCTCTGGTAAGGAATTCCCAAGCTGTGACACATCTTTCACCCACCAAAGGGAGAACAATGTCAGCTTCTCTTGACTGCCCCTTGTTAGAAACCTACCTTTCAGGGTAGGAAAACCTAATTTTCATCATCAAGCAATCCTTTTTCTTTTCTCTTACTCCTCTCACCAGCCTATTAATGATTATAGGGAATTAATTTTAAATAACTGAAGAGCAGGCATTCAGCTGTCTTATTCCTGTCTGTATCTGAATGTGTGTTGTTTCCACCTGCCAAATGTTTTCTTCACAGCAACCTTCCCCTTGCATAGGGAAACATTTTAGAAGAAAACAGAACAAAATAGCTGTGGATAAGAAGCTGTTACCAGTGAAGTATGACTTTGGGAAACAGTTGTTAATTGTTTCTGCATCTGATAGTAGTTTTAATGTTCATATGGAGAGCCTGAGCTTCTGCTAGAAAAATCTGAAGCGTTGCAAATTTTTGTCTGTCTTCTAGTTAATATTTGCAGAGCTGAGCAATGTTTGAAGCCACACTATGACCACTGGGTGCAAAATACTGGAAGGGAGGGCTGAGCAGGGTGCTAAGTCTCTGAATGCAGTGAATAACATATTATTGTGCCTACAATTATCTACAGAGTTTTTTGTTTGATTTGCTTTTAATTACAGGAGATTGACAGATATCTGATTGCCCATAAAGGAAAATAATTCAAAATGTTGAACTGAAATCCTGCTCTGTACCTATTCCTTCCTCTTCTGTTCTCTCTTCACATTTTCTGGTCATGCAAGACTTTGAGGAGTGGAGAACTTGAAGCTCAAAACTCTCCAAACTTTCAGCAGCTGCAGACTACAGGCAGCATGATACTGTCTGGATGATTAGAGCAAGATGTCTTCAAGTTGTGTAAAGAGGATATGGTGCACTGAAGATAACAGTTGTCTACATTCCTGACTGAGATAGGGACCTTCTCTGGTTACTTGCCCACATCCAGGATAACTGATGGTGGCCAGATCCTTCTGCTTGCAGCCCTGTGCCTCCCACAGACAGCAGCACGTCCTTTCCTTTGTAACAGTTAAATGTAGGTTTTCCTCGACAATTTAAACAATTCCTCCCCAAAACTATTTAATATTGGGTTACAGCATAATGCCAGTTACATTCAGAAACTATTTAAAGCTTTCCAAGGGAGCATGTTGAATTTTTAAATAGCTCCTTTGTTAGAGAAGCGAGGACGTCAAAAAAAGAAATTTTTAATTTTTTTTTAAATGTACCTGTCACCATCTGGCAAGTGGTAAGAGCTGTCAGGCTTGTAGATCTGAATAAAAGATGAGATTCATCTGACTCCTTGTCTACCCTGTCACGTCCTGCACTTCATACACAGTATTGGCAGCACCATACAGAGCCAGTCTTTGTCACGTGTGCTGGAGCCACTGGTCTTGCTGTCCCTTGAAACAGTGGCAAATCATGTCAGTTTTACTGTACACATTGCAGGGAGCTTGCCTGGGAGCCATGTGGGCAGGATCTGAGAAGAACCAAAATGAGTTTCTGTCTCCAAGAACTTACCAGGCTTTTCTCTGCAGTGGTGGAGCTGGGAGCTCCATCCTCACAGCTGTATGGGACAGTGTGGATATCTGAAATGTAGCTGTGCTCTAAAAGGAGTCAGAAAAAAAATCTTAAAACATTTGACTCAATAAATTTCTAAAGTGTATGTTGCTGAAAACTGGGAGGATATACTCATGGGGAGGATCTCCCTATTCTTGACCTGCTCTTATATTCTTATTTTAGCATCCATCCCAGCCTGTTTTCAGGTAGAATAGTGAGCTGGCCAGGCTTTTCCTGTGACCAAGGCTGGTTATTCAGAAGAGGATGGCTCCACCAACTTCCTGTATACTGGGGAGCTGTGTTGGCTTTCAGGCTGTTGTGATCAATGAAATTTTGTGGCCCAATTTGTCTAAATTGTAGATAGAAATGGTAAATGTTGCGACTTTTGGTAATGCAAGAGTGGTCAAGAAAAATTACCTTTCTGAAGCTCTCTGAGTATGTCTGCAGGGGCTCTGCTACATCCTGACTCCCTCTCTTGGTGCTTTCTCTGGTAATAAACAGCAAAGTATGTTTGGATTATCTGTACCCATGCTGCAGTGGAACCAGGAGTGTAGTTTTTGACAATGGCATGTAGTGACAGGCCAAAGGACAATGGCTTCTCACTGCCAAAGGGCAGGGATAGATGGGATATTGGGAAGCCTCTTGGCTGGGAGGGTGGTGAGGCCCTGGCACAAGGTGCCCATAGGTGTTGTGGCTGGCCCATCCCTGGAAATGTTCCAGGCCAGGTTGGATAGGGCTTGCAGTAAACTGGTCTAGGAGAAGGTGCATTGGGATTGGACTAGATGGCCTTTGAAGGTTCCTTCCAGCCCACACCATTCTGGAATTCTATTATTCCAATCATCAGATAGCTCTAGAGATTCACATGAGCAGTAGGTGCCTGTTACGCACTGTGTCGCTTTGACATCCCTCTGCTCCAGCAAATTCTATCCACCAGCTGATGAAAGATTCTCTGGCTGTAAACTGTAGTCCAGATTTGTATTTCACAGAGAAATACTAATAGACAGTGTGATAATATTTAATGCTTCAGAAATCAGACCAAAATACAGAGCATGTAAAGTCTGTAATGAATTTTGGACACCGGAACAGTTGCCAGTTTGCCTTGTCAAGAATGTATAAAATAGATATGACATGAAAGACTTAAATACTTATTATTTTTACTCAGTTGGACATAATGTACTCATCAACCAAAAGGAAGCATGGAAGAGGTGAAAAGGCTAAAAATTTGAAGAAGAATTAATTGGAGAATGTACTGGAGATGTAATAATGAGTAGTTGATGGTGCAAATAGAAAAAGGCATCTGCTGCAATTCTGTGTGTGTATAAAAGCTAGGAATTACCCAGAGATGTCCTCTAAGCCTAATCACACTGGTGACATCTTAGCTGGATTACTCTGGGTTTAGAATCTCAGAACCATTTAGGCTGAAAAAGACTTTCAAGACCATTGAGTCCAACCGTTCCCCAGCACTGCCCAGGTTACCACTGTCCCATGTCCCCAGGTGCCACAGCCATACAGCTTTTAAACTCTTCCACAGGGTCACCTGGCTGGGACAGCCCTGGGGCCATTGCCCCCCTGGGCACACCTGTGCTCATACTCAGCTGGAACCATGAAAGAAATTCTAGGTAGAAATGAGAGCTGAGGAAACAGAACTTCTGAAGGTGCTGATTTGCTGAAGTGATGTGGTATTTTTCAAATTAAATGCTGCTTTGAAGGGAAATGGAATAATCTCTTTGGCTTACTTGTGGGTTCACAGGTCATAAGGAAAGACTTTTCCAAGGTTAAGAATAATGAAGCACTGTCGTAGGTTTTCAGGGACTTCAGCATTGGAGATCTCTGGGGTTTGACAGCATGGCACTGGGGCAGAGGACAGACCAGCACAGGTACAGGCACAGGTAGATCTGGGGATGCCTCTGTGGCCCCACCAGAGCTCAGACCAGAGCAGGAATTCCCCAGTTTACCTTCAGCACAGACCTAACCACATTAGCTCTGGGCTGTTTCTCAGGATTTGGACCATTCAGTTTACTCTGGAAGTACCCATAATCTCTGTGTGCTTCATCACTGAGGCAAAAATAGGTGGATGTATAAGGGTTGTTAGTATATTGACCACTTTTTATTGAAAACTACTTATTTGCCTCTGTGTTTTTATAAATAATCTAAAAATCACCATTACCAGCTGATTGGGAACCATTAATGCTTTACAGAAGAAACTGAAATCAAAATACCTTCTGCTTCCTATTACTTTACCTTTCATTTTAGAAAGTCATTTTAGTAGCAGATAGTGCATCTTTTTTATCTAAAATGGGATATTCTTCTTCTCAGTGGCGAGCAAAGAGGAATGTTATGGTTCCGCTTCTGGCCTTGTGCAGAAATATTTAATCTGGGAGCTGTCTATATGCCTCCACTTCAGAGGTGGTCTGTAATTTGGTCAGCCGCTTCAGATATGTCAGGAATTTGGTGGAGACTCTTCGCTTATCATTCCTAAAGATGTGTTTGGTTCATGGCCACGGTGAGAACTCCTTGGCTTTCACTGCTCTCATATTTCCTACAAGCGAGCAACTGATACCAGGTGGTGGAACAGGCCTAACTAGGAGCTGCTAGAATTTTGTTTGCAAAATACTCTGATAGACATCAGGAGGTTGGGGGCAACGGCTTAGTGATGCAAAGGATTCAGTTGATGCAATTTTCTGCAAGGAATTTAATTCTTCAAAGACATTTCCCTACTAGATTTTAAAATCAATCAAGTTGTCTTCACTCTGGCATAGCAACCCCTGTTGTAAGACCTTCAGGACTTAAGAACTAAGTTTTTATGGCTTTCCTTAAAATTAGAAAAACCTTGATCCTGCTGATTACCAGAGCCTGGCTAAATACTCTTAAGGTTTTGGTGGATTTGGGTTGGGGTTTTATTGGTTTTTGTTTGTTTGCTTTGGGGGGGCTCTTCTTGCCTGTATTTTTTTTTCTCCTCACTCCTACACCGTAAGAGTGGAGAGCAGAATACCTGGAAAAGCTCACATGTCCTTGAACATGCTCCTCATTTCAAGGTGGTTCTGAGAAATACAGTACTTCAAGTTGGCTGATTAACCTCTTCTATTTCTCCTGCTATTGAATCACCTGAAGCTGTTTCACCCCTTCTTAAATCACCAAGGGTTGGCATTGCCTCTCATTGGCTCCAGCTATGACTACTGGATACCAAATGTAGCTGTGATTTATGTTTCCCTATGGAAGCTACTTAGTTGAAGTGCTAATCCTGTGGTACTTTACAGCGAGAGGTTTGTTTTCTTCTTTTCTACTCCATTCAGTGTGGCATCAATACACCATATTACTCTCCCAGTGGTGAACGTGGCTGGAAATAAAATTCTCAAAGTGTTTCTTTCAATCACTTTCAAAGGGAAACAAAATCAACGAAAACAGGTTCAAAACTTACTCATTTTTTGCCAAGTGATTTTTTCTTCTGTCTTTCTGAACTGACCTTTGCAGTTGCAGGCAGAGGAGGCAGCAACGTGTTGTACTGTTATTTTTAGCTGGAGGAGAAGGAGAGGAGTTGTCATGTTGATTAGGCAGCAGCACAGCCTGGGCTGCCGCAGGCCTCACAGCACTTCAGCATCTGCTGATAGAATCCAAGTGGAGAAAACATTTTGCCCTTGATAGCTCTGCTGTTGGCATGCTGTAAGGGGAAGTATTTTGTTACTTCAGCCTTGCAGCCCAATTGAAAACAATAGTTGGGTGAAATAACAGACACTCTAGTTGTTCCCTCACAATCTCAGAAATAATCTCCAAAACCTAAAATATTGCCTTTAAATGAAAAATGTTTCTAAATTGTTCTAATCTTGTAGTACTTTTAATCTCTGGCAATATCTTGTAAGTTTACTGTTTAGAAAACAAAAGGAGAAAGCATGAGTTTCTCATGGAAAATTGATCTCTAGGAAGAAATTCTCACCGCGGGGGTGGTGAGGCCCTGGCACAGGTTTCCCAGAGCAGCTGTGGCTGTCCCTGAGTCCCTGAAAGTGCCCAAGGCCAGGCTGGATGGGGCTGGAGCACCCTGGGATAGTGGAAGGTGTCCCTGCCCATGGCAGGGATATCACACTAAATGATCTTTAAGGTCCCTTCCCAACCAAACCCTTCCATGCGTCTATGATTAAAACCAGTTTTGGAAATCACTACAGAAAACTACAGTTTTTGTATAGAAATATTAATGGTATTTTAATAGAAACCCTGGGAAGGCCTGAGCTGGAGGTGGCCAAACCAGGTCCCCTGTGCCCATTGTACCACAGGTACCTTAGGTTAGACTAAAGTACAGCCAGGATTAGACTCTGCACAGGACAAGGCTCTTCATGCATTTTATCTGGATAGGTGTCAGATATTCCTGATGAGGGGTTGTCTAATCCTGGATTAAATGTGCCTTTTAATCTCTGCTAGTATGGAAGCCAGACTGGAGAGAGAGCTCTTAGAATGGGTTATGTTGCTTCAAGGAGAGGCCTTTCAGTGCTCAGCATGACTAGGAAGAGAGTAATTCGCAGCAACTTGCGGATTCTTTTTACTATTCTTTTTAAGCAGTCTTTGCAGTTGTTTTCTTAGACCAATTGCCCAAATAATTAAGAAGAAAATTAATTTTCAGAGTATCAGGAAGATACCATCTCTCAGCCTTCTTTATTTGCCCGAAGATTTGGGGTTTTTCTATTCATACAGTCATATGCTCAGCTGGTTTTAAAACATTTACTAAAACCTGAAACTCATTTAATACTATTCACAGCTTATTTTTTCTGGTTCATTTTACTTTCAATGGGACAAGGAGTGGAAATCTGCTAATTTTCATTTTTATTTTAAATTCACCTCTGTTATTTAAATATAGAAGATAATGAAAGCTCTTTCAAAGGAAAAGGCTACTCTTCCTTAATATGATGTTGAGCTTTTATATTTTTATATCTGACTAGATTAGTAGGAAAAGTCTTAGACCCTCTGCTACAGAGGTGGGAGCTTGGGCATGAGAGACATAATACTGGATGCTTTTTGATTTTATTCCTGATCTGGAACTAATAAGAAAATGTCTTCTTTAGGATCTCCTCTGTATAATTAATCTTTTATTTTTCTTTTTGCTTTTCTGTTTTCTTACTTCATTGGGATACTCGTGGGTACCTCACTGTCTCGTTGGGGTATCTCTCTTTTGGACCCTGCTCCCAGGGTGCAAAAGAGAGGTACTTAATTTCTATTTTGTTTGAAGTAGTAAGGCAAATAACTCCCAGAGATAAGTGCCATTATTAAAGTAGGTATTTTTAATTTTAGTCATCAACTACACATCAAAAATAGCCATTCTGAGTTCTCTAAAATGCTGACATAGCCTGAAAATACTGGAAGCGTGTCTTGCTTTTGTTCTTTTGAAATATAACCCAAAGATTAGTACCTTTACCACAAAAACATAAGTCTTTCAAAAACATGTTAAGATTGAAGGGTTTGAATTCCCAAAATAGGAAATGTCAGAATTCAGGGAGTATCTGTGAACTTCATTCAGTTTTTTTACATGTTTGCATTATGATAGTATTTTATCCTTTTGGTTAAAAGCTAAATATTAAGTTTTGCTTTTGTTGTGGTTTAGCAGAACTTGAGCTAACAAGGCAGTGCCACTGGGATGGATTCTCTGCAGGAGCCTGCCCTTGGCAAGGATGGGTTTCACCAGTGATTACTGACAACAGAGGAGTGTTGAATGCAGGAAGACTTTTTTTCTTTCAAAGTCTGTGGGCAACTTGCTTGTTCCTCTGTGAGCTGTGTAACCTCCACCAGCAATTTGTCCCAAACTCCGTGCCAAAACCGTGTCAGCCTCACTCTGAGGTCCTCATACTCTTTGCACAAGCTGTTTCTTGCTGTTTTACTCTGTTATTTCTGGTCCCTCCCTCCAGCTCCTTTGCTTATGAACTAAGCACATCTTCCTACTCCTTTTTTTCTAAGGATCAGAGATCACAGTGCTCCACCAGGTCCTTATCTCTAAGAATGTAAAAGCCTACCTGCAGCATCTGCCAGAGGCAGTGAAATTCTCCCTTTCTACTCAAGTATGGAGATAATAGTAAGGACAGCACAGAAGATTAAACCTGAATTTTCTCTTGACTGGTTTGTGTACTTCTGTTGTTAGAAACAAAATAAAACAGAAATAAACCAAACCAAATACCACAATCCCATGACAACCCCAAAAAGCAACTTCCAGCAACTTTAGTCTGCTTCTGTCTCATTCACTTGGTGTAAGAGTTTCTAGAGATACCAGCAAATCTTCCAGCTCTAAACAAGGGCTGGGCTTTCTGTGGGGGAAGTCACAAACAGGAACAACAAATTTGAATCTCACAGTAATCAAGCCATCAGCTGTCTTTGTTTTATGAACAGCAGCTGAGCTGGGAGGCATAATTAGGGTAATGGTTTCTGGCTCCAGCTGTGTCTCACTACAGAACAAAGAGAGCTCAGCAGAGATTTTGTAGTATAGTACACTTTTCCCTGCTTCTACTTGGGAGAATTATCGAAGACTACTCGATGGACTGGGACTGTGATTCAGATACAAGTGAACATCAGTATTTTTCCACAGAGCATGTTGAAGGCTCACAGGATTTTGCAGAACCTGCCATTAGGATTGTGTTTGCCTCCAGCCTAGGGGTAGCCAGGTGCTCTGGTGTAGACAGGCTCTACCAAGTGCCTCTTGTGGTACTTCCAGAGGATTCTAAGTAGGTGTTGAAATTTTTCCTCAGACCCTTTTTGTGTTTTGAGTCCTGGATCCCTTGTGTGACTAAGGAATTTACCTGGGATAAGGGATGGGGTTTGCAAAGTGTGTTCTTTTTGGATGAAAGGAGCTATAGAAATTGAAGTTTTCTGATGTCCCACATAGATAACTGCCGGTGGGATGTCTGCTTCTGCTGTGCCCCACTGAGCTTGGAGAGGGATAAAAGTTAAAGCCTGACCTAACTGAGTTCTAGCTAACAAGGACCAGCTGGGTCACAGAAAAGGAAAGGGAGGGGAAATATGGTGAAAATCAGCTTGGCTTTACCAGGGGGGATGTCTGGAGGATGACAGGGAATTTGCAGGATTCCTTAGGCCTAGAATCCAGGATGTGGAAGGTATGTGGCACTTGGGGTGGATACAGGGTGGAAGAGGAGCTTTGTGGACTTCCTTCTCACCAGCCACTTGCTGTGGCTTTGAGTGCTACACAACTCCTAAGAAATGTAGTCTCTCATATTGAGATACTTAACAGTTGTGTTAAAGCCTTTTGTCCAGAAGTCAGTGAGACTATAGTGATTTTACTTTAATACTTTACAATGTAAGTAACTTTCTAGCTCAAATCATAGAAAGACTGGAAGAACTCCAAAGCCTGATGGGCAGAATGGACAAAAAGCAATATAGGCATATGTCAGTGCACAGTACTTGGGAATGTAAATTTATTAATTCAGCTGTGTGTGTCATATTGTAAAATCATCTGTCTGTTAAAAATGATTGCAGGAGGATGCTGAGAGTTGTGCTAATTTGACATTAACAAAGTCTCCCTGGCTGTGACACTGGCAATAATGTGATTACTCTTTAAGAAGTGCAGTGGTGCCAAAAAAGAAGATGACAGCTTTTTGTATAAATTGATCCAAAGATCTCTTCTGTTTATTTATGTGCTGTGATGTTTCATTCCAGGTGATCAGCTTTTTCAGCTCCCGATTAGAGCAAGCTGGAGCTGAGCTGTCAGTAGAGCGAGTTCTGGAAATCATCAAGCAAGGAGCTGTTGCTTTGCCCAAAGACAGGCTAAGAGTAAGTGCTCAAGACCTCATCACTTAAAGTATACTGTTCCTATCAATTACACATATATGCCCTTTATATCTGTAACTTCAAGAAATCATCTCTCCTCTCAGTAGTGACTGATAAGTGATTACACTGTCGATTGCCATATGTGTATGTTTTCATTTAAATTCCTAATTTCTGCTAAGTGTTTGGGTGAGTTTTTGTGATTAGTTATTAAATTGAAGTGTGTGGAGGAATTAAATTTGCTGAAGCTAAGGTTTTCTTCATCGTACCCTGAAGATGCAGGCTCCTCTCTCCATCTGTTGTTTAGGTATGCTGTAACCAAACACTGGTAATTCTCTCTTTTGATTAATTTATTTTTCTGTCTCTAGTGTTCTTTTTCTGTCTCTAGTGTTCTAGTGCACCTCTGTCTCGGTCTGTATTAAGTGCTATACAGATAAATTTGGAGGGCTTTAGTTAATAATTACCCAACCTAATGAAAATCAGTTCAGGACCTGTAAGTCTGGTCAACATGATGATGAGCTTTCTGTATAATCCTCAGCAGTCCCCTCCATTCTTTTCTGAGAACTTCTCAAATCTCTTGAGGGATTTACCAACTTGACAGGTTTCGTGAGGCTAAAATCCATTAATGGTTGTGTGATGTTTAGATACTGCAATAAAGAAATCTGTGTAAGTGGGTAAGTAAGCAAATGGGAGCTGTGTGTGTTTTTTAAACATGATGAATCTTGTTTCTCTGTTATGCCAAGTGTATTTTAAATACTGTCTGTTTTCTGCAGAACTATTTTTGTTGCTACTCTGTGATAAGAGAGTGAAAGCATCATTTCTTTTGTGGTAACTTTAGTAAAATATCCTCTGATAAGGCACACTGAGTCTACAGCCAGTGGCAATGGCTGGTAATTTATTTATATGCTGGTAATTTTGAAACACCCAGTGGGAATTTTCTAGCTGGCTGCATATACTAATGTCTTTCCTGCAGTTCCCTGTGTCCCTGGGATGGCACGTCTTCAGTCACTCAGACTGAATTCCTTCAGGAGAGGTTGGTCTAGAGTCCAAGTCCTGAGCTGCAGTACAGGAATAGCCTGAGTAACACCAGAGCAGTTATTGGCTCCAAATCCAGCCCTTCAGGTTGTCCTTTCTGTGTGGTGGTGCTGTGAATGCAGAGGAACACTGGAACTTCAGTGGTTTCTATGACAACTTGTTCTGATGTGCAGATAATTAAAAGCTCTTATGTTGAGGCTACACCCTTCTTGACACAGAGCCATCACCAAATCAATTCACTGCTTAGAAAAAAATGAAAGTTTTCTCAGTTGCTGAGTGTGCCACAATGACTGATATGTCAGGCCACAATTTACAGAAATGCAGTTTCTGGAGTGAAATCCCATCAAGTTTCCATTTTCTGCACTAACGATATACAGTATTCAAAATTATATGTTTATATTTTCACTTAAAGCAACAAACCAGCAGTTTTTGGTGTGTGCCAAGCTCTGTAAGTCCTCACCAAACAGTCAAGTACTTCCAGTTTTGAGGATGCTTAGTGTTGCTTGGAGCACTTCCCTTCCCTCTGGAGCACTTGAGTTTTGGGACAAAATTACAGAGGGAAGCCAGCCTGGCACATTAGTCTTCTATACTGACCACTTGCACCTACTGGGTTTTGTCTTTTTGTTTTCCTTTGGTTTCCTTTATTTTTCTTTTTTTTTTTTTTTTCCCCACTTTTTTTCTGCCTTTTTTTTTTTTTTTTTCCTTTTTTGTTTTTTATTTTTCTTTTCTTTCTTTTCTAATACTTTTGCTGAGCAGCAGTTTGGCCAGAGCAGGTTACTTTTCCATGCAGAAAAGGGGACATTGACCTTGGGATGGGATGTTTATATATATATAGATATGCATGTATGTATTGTCGTGCATCAATTTGTACATGCAAATAACATCCTTCCTTTGCAGAGGTAGTGATAAGGAGCAGCACATGTTTCCCTCCTATAGAAATGGCCTTGTGAGTCTTTGTGCCCTCTGTCCATGTGCCTCTCTCCTGGGAGTCTCCCTGTTCCTCAGGTCTTCCCGCTTAAGTCTGAGGTTTTTAGGGGAAGCTATTCTAAAGCTCGACAAACTCATATTAAGATCAGACTGAAGATATTGTTACACAATAACTCTGGCAACTCTGAGGCATTTCAACAGCTAAGTAAAGGAGAAAGCTTTAATCCATATGTCTTTAATGACACTCTCTGGGCAAGTCTGGATGGGTGGGAGCAGCCCTACCCACTCTGGCTTTGATGGCACCTCAGGGAGCTGTGCAGAGCCACAAGGTCCCCCCTGAGCCTCCTTTTCTCCAGGCTCAGCCCCTTCCCAGCTCCCTCAGCCTCTCCTGGGGCTCCAGCCCCTTCCCAGCCCCGTTCCCTGCCCTGGACACGCTCCAGCCCCTCAGTGTCTCTCTTGTCCTGAGGGCCCAGAGCTGTCCCAGCACTGGGAGCAGCTTGTGCTCAGCCAGCTTGGACAATGTCTGGAGGAACTGTGAATCTGTTGCATCTGTGTTAACACAACCTACACATAATTCCAATGTGCAAAGCTGTGGAGTTCAATCCCAATAATATATATATGTGTGTGTGTCAGCTTTGCAGTTAATTGCTAACTAATTTTCAAGCCATCCTTGCCTTTTGCCACAGCATACTGAAGTGCTGTAAAGTACAAGAGACCCTGCAGAGATATTATTCCTGCCTCCTAGAAATAGCCATCTTCAGAGCTGAAGCACTCTGGGGGAGGCAGTTGAAACATGGATATGATTTGGAAAACGAGGGCTGAGGCAGAGCTTTTACTCAGTCACTTCCCTGCAGCTCAGACAATGATGTTTTTTTCTTATGTGTGCCTAATGTATGCACGGATGTTTTCAAGTGAATGTTTTCAAGTTGCTTATCTTGGCCTTTGTTGAGGAAGTGAGCATTCAAGAGGTGCTACATGTGTTCAGGTTCTGAGTCTGCTTAGCCCATAGTTCAAACATGAATCAACATCAACTAAAAATAACAGCACTTAGAGCCGCGATCCTCATCTGCATAATGGAGCTTATCAGTTTGGGAGCACACCCTGGTGCTCCTGCTCCCTTCCACTGTAGGAAGCAGCACGGGATGCAAAGTGAGCATGTGTGGTAGCAGTAGGTCATGGATAAATATATATATGTGTGTGTGCCTGTGTTAGGAAAGATGTCCTGCATTTTCTTAGCAAATAATTATTGGGAAATGGGAGATCCAACTCAGATTTTCCTTCCAGTCCTGGAGCAGTCTGACTGGAGACAAACAATATAATTAACATTATTTTAAGCATATGCTTTTAGCTGTGTACTGTGGAAGGCCAAGAAAGTCCAAGCTGAGCAATTAGCCTTTTAGAAGACTTCTGCACAAACAGGGAGATAAAGGGCAGGTGCTGAAATCAAGAGCTGGTTATTTCTCCCTCAGTCTGTGGGAGGAGATAAATGAAGTTAATATGCCCGGGATGGAGGCAGAAGCCATGGCGTGGAGATAGAGCTGTCTCCTTCGCAGACGAGCAGCCCACAATCCAGGCTCTCTGCTATATTGCAGAAGCTTATTAAAGGCAATTTAGAGATCATAGTGATAGGTGAAAATTAGCCTCATTCTTTCTTTCTCTTTATTTTTTTTGAAAGTTCTCAGGCTGCCTTCCTTCCCTTTGGTGACCTATCTGTACTTTCAGGATTAGGAGAGTGAGAGAAGCGGTACCGTGTCTGGAGCCTGTGACTTATCTCAGGATTTCAAGGGGAGTTAGCCAGCAGATAACAACTCTTCTGCAATAAGTGGGAAAACTTGTTTCAAATGCCAGCTAGTGACTGGAAGCTGACATTTGGTTTTATGGAATGATCACACTTGGGAGGCCACGTTTAATGCTTTATAAAAGGAAAGTTCCCATTACCTAAGCCACTTAAGATGGAGATTTGTTTTTCATGAGCATTTTCTGATCTGCTTGTGTTTTTCCCCCACTCCTTTTCTCCCCATGTCAATGAGTATTTTGTCATCAGTGTGCACTCTGTCAGATGTTCTTTGTGTGCTATGCAGACGTGCCATTATGCCATCTACTCTCACTATTTTGATATGGTACAAAATTTAATATTTATTGAAGTGCATTTGAGTTCGATGGGCATTAAAATTTCACAGAATATGTAAAAGGAGCAGAGGTAAAAGCCTTCAGTCTCTTGACAGAACAAGTTTCACTTTAGGTGTTAAAAGCACTTCTCATAGGTTTCCCCTTCTATTAACAATGTACTTCCAACTCCATCAGCTTCCATTTGTTTCACTGAAAACAGCTGCTAATCACTGAGGCACCAGGGCACGGGGAAAGAGTAAACTGTCATCACGGTGATGGCAGATACTGCCTGGGAAGTGGACCAGAGCAGCTTTATATCTCTGGCACATCACCCTGGGGAAGCAGCACCAGCACCAGAAGTTTAGCTACAAAAAAATATCATAAAAATAAGATGGTTGTTGAATGAGGTGGGAGTGAATTCAGCAGGGGATGTCAAGCACAGGTGCTTTGGTAGAATCACAGATTGATTTAGGTTGGACAAGCCTTCCAAGACCACCAAGTCCCACCATTTCCCCAGCACTGCCCAGGTCACCACTAACTTATGTCCCCAAGTGCCACATCCACATGGCTTTTAAATCCCTGCAGGGATGGGGACTGCAGCACTGCCCTCGGCAACAAGGGATTGACAGAGCTTTATGTAAAGAGGTTTTCCCTGATGTCCACCCTGAGCTGCCCTGGCCCAGCCTGAGGCCGTTCCCTCTCCTCCTGTCCCTGTTCCCTGGGAGCACAGCCCGACCCCCCCGGCTGTCCCCTCCTGTCAGGAGCTGTGCAGAGCCACAAGGTCCCCCCTGAGCCTCCTTTTCTCCAGGCTCAGCCCCTTCCCAGCTCCCTCAGCTGCTCCATCCCCTTCCCAGCTCCCTCAGCTGCTCCCCATCAGACTTGAGCTTATGGGAAATCAGAAGTCAGGAATGGCCATAAAAAAAGTGCATGTGAAG